AATCCCTTGTTCTTTCCCTGCGTGCAGACCCGATGGGCCAGGGCAAGGGACCTGGCAATCTATGGGGATCCATCCTGGCACCCAAAGCAGCAGAGGCAGAACAGAGGGAGGGAGGCACGCTCTCAGGACGGGAGTCCTCGGATCCTGCCTGTCAGGCCCCGTGGGGCAGGAAGAGAGAAGGTTAGACACAGAGGAGGAAGCAGGTGGGTTATTACCTGTGCAACCCCTGTTACGAATAGCGGGACCCCCTCCGACGTCTCAATATTCTCACAGCGACACAGGATGGTCATAACCTCCAGAGACAGTCTGAGGAGCAGCCAGGGGGTTGGGGAGGTAGGGACAGGAAGGGGTAGGAGGGGACACAGCAAACACACACAGTGGTTACCAGACAAGCACCAATGCCTGCGCCTGGGGGCGGGCGGAGGTGCTCTCAATGCTCCAACCCCCCACTGCTAAGAGGGTTGTAGGAGAGCAGAGGCGCCCCCTTGCTGGCTAAGGCCTCTGAGTCTCTTCTCTAGACCTCGAACCCTTCCAGTGAGAAGCTGTCAGGCTGGGGAGATGCCTGCTGATGCCCCGGACCTATGGCCTGAGGTCTGGAGGCCTGAGGTGCCCTCACCTCACTTTCTCAGAAGATTCCTGCCACAGCTGGGGAGACTCAGCCTCATCTCCACTCTCCTAACACAGGCGAATCTGTGTTTCCAGAAATCAGGAGGGGCAGGCCGCTCTGGAGATTAAGGAGCCATAGCAAATACCGAATGCTGCTCGGGCACAAACCCTCAAGGTTTGGGTTACGTAGCACTAAGGGGGCAATTTGGGTCTGAAGAGCCCAAAGTTTTAGAACTTCTGATTTGGGGTTGGGCGGAAATGTGCTCCTGCCAGAACGCTCAGGGGACAACGAGGAGATGAGGCAGCGTGGGCAGAGGAGGGGGCAGAAGCCAGAGTATGGGCAAGGAAAACAAGTGCCTTGAAGCCAGTTGGTACACCCCGGCTGGGCCTCCCTAGGGCAGAGTGTGTGCATGCGCACCTGTGCAGGGTGGGGGTCTTGCCAGAGGCCAGGGGCAGAGTATGGAAGGTTTCCTTAAACTGAGAAAGAAGGAGGAGGAGGCGGAGGGTGCAGAAGCAGAGGGCATGGTTTGGGGGTGGGGAGTGGTAGGCAATGCGGAACCCCCACAGCAACTCTGGGAGGAGCCACTCTCACAGGGAAGCCCCACAGGCTCTGGCCATGCAGACATGCAAAGGTTGCTTGTTTGAGTCCCTAACACTAGTACCCTTGGCCCTGAGAGGACTCTCTACCGGCTCAGACAGGAACCCATCAAGCTCTCTTCTGGGGAAGGAAAGAGGGAAGGAGGGAGGGAGGGAGGGAGGGAAGAAGAGAGGAAGGAAAGACAGGAGGCTGCAGCTCAGAGGCCAGAGGTGGAGGAATTGCGCAGGTAAGGGAGACAGCACTGCCCACATCGGGGCCTTGGGCTGTAAGGACAGGATGTGGCAGCGAAGTGCAGCAGAGGGACCGCCTAAGCCTGCAGAATGGATGGCTAACGCCAAGGGCGGGCGACTAGAAGGTGGCTGTGCAGACTACCTCACGAGGGAGGCTGAGAATCCAGGCTGCTGAAACCTGAAAGGCTCCTGCCAGCCAGGGAAATGAAGGCCCCAGCTGGGACGATGTCCCCCAAGGATGGAGAGGGGGCTGCCTCCAGAAAAGGGAACAGGAATGGGAAGGGCTGAAGGCTCAGACTACCCCACAGATGAGACCAGCGGAAGGACGCTGGGCCTGGCTGTGAAGTGTTTCCTGGGACTGGGGCCAGGGCCCCCCACCGCTCACTTCTAAGCCTGCTGTCAGGCTCAGCCCTCCTGTCCTTCCTCTGCTCCTTAGGCAACAATGGGGCGGGAGAGACCAAGAATGTAGCGGAAGGGCTACAGGAGTACCACCCGAGAAGTGGGTGCCCACGCAGCACGGGTCTCTGGGCCTGTCTGTAAGTCGAGGTGTCTGAACAAGATACCCTGTGGTGCGGGGACTGCATGGGGTGTGAGGTGGCAGTGTCTCTGCAGCAGAGTCCCCATGACTTTCGCCAGGCCAGCTGGCCTGCTCAGGAGTGCCTCTGATCCTCCCGATTGGAAGCGGTGGCCACTACTGACGGCTGATGCTTCCAGCCCTGGGTTAAGGAGTCCCCAGGAGCCCTCGATGCAGGCACGGTAAGGTGAGGCGAGATGAGCATGGACAGGTGGTGGGAAATCAGTGAAGTCGGAAGGCTGTGACGTGCTTGCCATGCCCGCAGGCTCCCCGGACCCTCAAGTGGTAGCAGCTTGGTGTAGACGTGAGCTTCCTCTGCTGACTGGCAGGGGCTGGGGTAGAGGGGACTTTCCACTGGAATTGCCATTGCTTCCCCCTGAGGTGACCAACCCCCCTTCAACACGCCCCCATCTTCACAGTTCTGCAATCCTCGTCGCTGGGTCCCGGCCTGGAAGGGTCCTCCTCACACCTCATCTCCCATGACCAGGAAGGGGGTGGTGGTAAAGGTGGCTGGCATGCCTCATCTCCTGGCTGGGCAGTGAGGGTGGCAGAGAAGCTGGCTCAGGCCCTGCCCTGGGCTCTGGAGGCACCAGCAAGAAGAGCCAGAGGGCAGGCCCTCGGGGGAGCTGATACTTCCCTTCCTTTAGTAAGTCCTTCCAGATTGATCTAGGAGGGCCCGATCTGCCTCACCTGGCCCCAGCACTCATTCACTAGCCCCCACTCCTCGTCTCTAACCCACGCTGTCATAGACCCCTCTGACTGTACGTTCCATCTGCCAGTTAGGCCCTGCCAGCACTGTCCCAGGGCTGCACAGGCGAGGGTATGGGTCTCTGCAGCCTTTCCTTCCTTCATGTACCTGCTCCAAACGGGATGCACAATTAGGACTCTCTGGATAACCCTGAGCCAGAGTTAGGAAATCTGGATTCTGCCTGGGAATGACCCTGAATTCCCTGGGGGAGAGGTGACATCACCTCCATGGAAAGAAAGAACATCCATCCAGAGGAGGTGCGCACGGACAGACCTCCGGCATCCTGGGTAACCCATCTCACTATTCCTGGGAGCCACCACCCGCCAGAATGGAATGTGGGGAATGGCAGATGCTCTGGCTGACCTGTGGGGTGAAGCTGGGGAATGCTGGAAGCCCTCTCTCCCTTGCCCACCCGGATGACACATTCCAGAGCCCCCAGGCCCTTACCTCTGAGTGTCGGAGATACACCACCAGGCCCAGGCCCAGCCGCCAAACACGTACTGTTTATAGTCGGAACCACAGCAGCCTCCTGGGAAGCAAAGCAAACCCCTGCTGGTCAGTGCGCTCTTGTTTGTCCACCCCGCGCCCCTCTGCCAGCGACTTTGGCCCTTTACCAGCGGTGAGGCAGGACAAACTCCTGCAGTGGGTGCCAGGTGTGGTGCTTACATGTGAATGGAACCCAAGGATTTCTCCTTCAGGGAGAAGGGATCTAGCTTGGTAGGCAATTTGCAAGAAAGAAGGGCTACCCAATGAATGGTTCAGAATAAGTGCTTCCAGGGGACAACAGGTCAGGGGACGGGGTGGTGGGGAAAGTGTCCATTTTACATCCAACCACTCATTCATTCGTCAAGTAGAGAGGTACATTTCTGAGCCAGAGATACAGAGATGAAGATACAATTCCTATCTTGAAGGAGGTGACACTGGGAAGAATCGTTTCCTGAGATGGTTCTAATACCGTGTGGCTCTTCTGTGACCACAGTAGGTGCAGACAGGGGATGGGGGTGAAGGGAACACTGGAGGGCCAGTGGGGGGAGGGCGTCTTTGAGCCAAGGCGAGGGTCTTGCTCTGCCTGGCACACATCTCTGTGAGGCTGGTTCTCTATTCTTGGGGGATTCAGCGTGATTTTGCTCCTCTTTACTTTTTTGTTAGATGGTGTGTGTGCTCGCCAGAGAGAGAGAGCGCGCGAGAGTGAGCAGAAGAAAGCACCCCCATAGGGATGCTCATGCCACAATCCCTTCTCCTCTCTCCCTCCTTTTGGGATTTTGGGCTCACATGCACACAGGCCTGGCGTGCTCCTTAAACTGCTGGGTCTGGCCATGTGGGATCCAGCTCCCTTGACCACCGAACCATGGGCTGGCCCCAAAGTGCTATTGTTCCTCTTGTGGGAATGGGTAGGGTAGGCAAAGTTTTAAAATAAGGGGCGACTTGGGACCAGTGTTGGTGTAATGGCTATGGAATCGCATGGACTCTCGCTGGACTCCCATGTAGTCGACTGGTTTGAGTCCCGGACCCGGTGGCTTAAACTCACACTGGGCATGTGTGTGTGCCCAAGATCCGGAGAGGAGAATGGAGGAGAAGGGATTGTGGCGTGGCCATCCCCCTGGGGGGTGATTTCTCACTTTCTGTCTCTCTCTGTCTTTCTGGCGAGCGCATGCGCCCTATAGCAAAAACCTCGCCAAAAAAAAAAAAAAAAAAAAACCCTAAAAAAACAAGGGGCGACTTGTGGTACTAATGAGAAAAGAGAAAGAGAAAGTCTTAAAAGGAAATGATTCCTGGAAACTGTATCAGCTAAACAGAATATCTAACTTGGCTGTGACCCACATTCACGCTATGAACAAGTTTAGCACGTTCTCTAAACAGAAAAAACTCATTTCCTGAAAATCTTGTTGTGAACTTCCCTGTTAATGCCAAAATTACTCAAGTTCAAGGAAACTACTAAAAACAGGGGAGTGGGCCAGCTGGTAGTGTGGTGGTTAAGGTTCAGATCTCACATGGCTGACTATGTGGTTTGAGTCCTGGACCTGGTGGCTTGAAAAACACACTGGGGGGACTAGCAGATGGCATAATGGTTACATGGCTGGACTCGCATGTAGTTGATCAGTTCAAGTCCCAGACCCACGGCTCACTCCAGGCATGTGTGTGTGTGCCCACAATCCTGAGAAGAGAATGAAGAAGGGATTGTGGTGTGGCCATCACCCCCGGGGGGGTGATTTCTCACTTTCTGTCTGTCTCTCTGGTGAGTTGATGCACCCTATAGCAAAAATCTCTCTCTTACAAGAAAGAAAGAAAGAAAGAAAGAAAGAAAGAAAGAAAGAAAGAAAGAAAGAAAGACAGACAGACAGACAAACATGCTGGGCATGTTTCTCCAGAAAGGAGAAATGGAGAAGGGCTTGTGGCATGGCTATCCTTTCTTACATTCTTGTTTTCTCTCTCTTCCAGGAAGCACTTCTGAACAAAGCAATTTTTTTTCTTTAATTATTTTATTTAACTTTATTTATTTAATTTCA